ACACCAATTTCATGATTTCATGAAGGCGCCTTATCGTAGACTCGTGACATGCTCAGTCGTCAAAAGAAAATCAGCAAAAAGAATGATTTAATTGAGCATGATAGCAACTCAAGAACAAAATAAAAGCTTTTATTTTACTAAATTTTTTCTCGCATTACCACTCTCCCAAATGTAGCATGTTCCATGGCACATTAAAACACATTCAATATGAAACTATTCTCTTGACTGTCAAAATTCATTAGTAGCTTTGCTTTGATGTTTCTCGTTAAATCATTCGACTCTGTAGCAAGAATATTTTGTTTCCAACAGCGTAAATAATTTTCATCAAGATACTACTCTGCTATTTTTGAAAAATCTCTATCATTAAAAGTATGCTTGCATGCTTCATTACTGACATCTGCGCATCTAGATGTTGTGGCCAATACAGAATCTATTGAAAGGATTCTCAGGATAACTATATAATAGTTGTTTCTTTTCACTATCAGTTTGCTAAGTTTTTCCAAGCATTTAAGAAAATCCTATCATTGGTCTTCAATCCAAAAGTGAGATGCAGTGTTCAATAGGTTTATAAAAGCTGTTAACTAATTTAAACAAGCATAAACCTTCGTACGGGCACGGTAGGAATATTTTTGTTGATTATAAATATCCCATACTAAGAATCATTCTTTTAAATAATACTCTACGTAGATATTATTTTAATGGATTATCTTTTTACGAGTAGATAAGAATTTCATCAAATTAATTTTTAAATTTCTACGCAGATTGCTAGATCACGTCAGGTATCACGTAACTGCTATTATAGGCTTTCTATGGGCATATGTGATGAATTCGAATACTGATCATTCAAAAGGTACATGGTAACTTTCTGTTCATTTTGATTTTTACTCTGAAGTTAACAGATTCTTCTGACTTATTCATAAACGTATCTTATAAATGACAAGGTGTTGGTTTGCGTTTCATGCATAATCATTAATGCATTATCAACAAAAGAATAATGAATTATTGCTCACTGCTCATTTAATAATTATGAATATTGTTAAAATTCAATCATAAATACGTGCGCTAGAATAGATGCAATAGAACTAAACGTGAAGTCTCCATCAGTATAATGATAAGTTTGATTATCAAAAATATAATCTCTTCTTTATGTACCATCATAACAATTTTCATCATCAGTTGCTCACTTGAGGGTGTGAGTGTCTGTTTCAATGAAATAATGATAAAAATTAATTAAGACCTAGACTCATATTTTCCGCACAAGAACCATCATATATCGATTTGATAAGGAGTTTTTCAGAGATCAATGTTAGAATAATTGTGTACTTTGTTGCTTGTTGCGCGTCACAATATGCCTTCTCATGAATCATACTAATCAGAGAAAATTTTATCGCTTACCAATGTTCGTCTGGTAGCTTTTCGGAAAAGAATTCCTCTGAAGAATTTGAAGCTTTCAACATCATTAGATCTCAGTGAGAAGTGTAAAAGCCGTAATTACCGCAAATCTTAAATTCCCCCAATGACAGACTATGAGAAGTGTTGTGTTACAACATTGCAGAAATGAAAAACATCGAATAGCTGCAGTCACACCTATAGCCAAACTCCATATTTTTGGCGTTTGCCGTTACATTTCATTCAATAAAAATTTAAATTTCCTCAATATCAGATTGTCAGAATCATTCATTGGACTATATTTATTATGTTTCAATGTTTTCCGGTAAAATTTATCCACTGAAATCAATCAAATGTATTTTTTTATTCATGCATTGAATTGATGTTTGTGCATCTTTTTTCATATCTATGGCGTCTATAACATATGATGCATACTTATCTATATGCATTTTCTACTATGAAAGATGATGAATAAAAGTAATAGAAATTTATTGTCTTCATAGCATAAAGAAACAAAATGCATCTGAAATTAAGGCACTCAATAAGCGGAAGAATAAAAACATTGAGAACAAGAGAGAAGAAAAAGAATCATGATCAAATGTCAAGTTTTTTCTTCTTCAAAACATCAGTTCATTAACGGACGAATAAGTTGCGATGTATCGAGAAGTTTTTGTTCTACTCGAAATTGTACGTATAGGTTCTTAGTTAGGAATTTTGAAAAGGTTTTGATCTAGGCAGGACTATTATTTTGCTATGAAAAAAAAATTACGAGACTCCTTACGGACTGTGCGCCTAGCTGCAGTCCTGTTAGACATTTGTGATTTCGCGTTTCTTTCTTCAGAAAAATAGAATATATATATCGTTTGACACGAGATATTGTGTAAGATAGAATTTTTTAATTGTATTAGCATGTTCAAAAATCTTAGTCGGAAATATGCTAGTTACGCAGTAGTAAACTGCGTTTAAGCTGTCTTCATTTTTTATGTTTACTCTTCGCTGGTTGCTTTCATCGCCTTCTGTAGGCATATGATTGACAACTAAAAGTTTATGATGAAATTACCAGTAATTCTACTATCAGTCAAGATAAAGCTGATTGAAATTTTTAGATAAAGTTTTTCCCAGCCAACATGGCATTTAAAAACCGTTTGATATGCTACTAAATCAATGTTAAAAATATGTAAGTTTATTGGGCCATATAAGATAAGCAGACACAAATACAGTTAGGAATATCAAAACATAGATCGGTTGAAACAGCAACTTTTTCTTCTATCTCACTTAGTCATCATCGTCTCCGAACGTATGAAATATATATTAGTTCACATGAAAAGAAAAGAGTAAGTGCACGTAGCGTAAATTATGAAAAAAAGTGAGAAACAAACAAAAAGAAATATATATAATTACAGATAGTCACTGAAAAATAAGATCTAATAGAATTAGTTATCATAATTTCTGTTTGGATATTAGATTATGAAGGATACAGTGACTTATTTATATACGAATCTTTTCAACACAAAAGAATCCTTTACAATTTTTTTTATGGTCATTCACATATACAGAAAAATTTTAAATATCCAAATTTACGTGATGCGACTTTGTTGGCTGGTGGCTGATAAAAAAAACTCTATTTATTTTTAAAACTAATAGATTTGAAATGAAGTCAATAGGGGTATGTTACAAAGAGAAAAATCCCACGTTGGTCTCTATTCCTTAGTCACATGTATATTATCGATTTCCTCCTTGGTATAAAGATTCTGCGTAGATTATCAACTTAGAGTGCTGAACACTACTGATTTCAAGTCTCTTTCTAACATTATTCACATGACAAATTTTCATAACGCAGTAAACATGATTAAAGAATATAATCAATGCTATTTATTATATTTACTGTGCTGAAATCGATGAATCAGAGAATTCTTTTTATTACTAACAGTTGAATACATCTTTCGGAGACCTCCATAGGTCATAGTCAAGCGATTCCCGTTGATTTCTAGTTATGCATTCTTGAAGCATTCTCAAATTAACTCGTTATATTACACTTTATTACGGCGATTTTAGGTAATATCTCGATCGCAGAAGACACTTTACGATTCAATAATTTCCATACCGAGCGGCGTGACTTCGTGATTGTGTCCTTGTCTTTTTCATATCGATATCCTTAGTGCTAAGACTATACTAGTGAGATAATATTTCAAGACAACGCACAGTGATCAAGCTTAGAGTGAAGAAGTCACACTAGCTGTTCAAGATGAGATGGAAAATTAAAAATCACAATAAATTTGAGGATTGAAAAAGACAGTAATAGAGATATCTAAATGAATCGATCTATCTTAGGATTGATAAGTAATTGTATAAGAATATGAACCCTATGCAAAAATAGCCATTGGTTTCACAGTGTACGACCGTTATAACATTTATAATAAGATTATGGGATAGTTAACTGTGATATTCAAGCGATGGGAAAACCACTTTCCTCTAAACTTCTAGTTTTCTGTGTAGTTTTAGTATGAACACTAATTTCAATGAATTATCTGCTCGTTGCTGTAGAAAATAACATCAAATCTACGTCACATGAAATATCCATCTTTATACTCAATTTCAGCGATGCTGCATTCGGACAAATAACGATAGATAATAACTTATTCAAGAGTTAATATCGAAACCATATATGTATGAATAGAGAGTTGCTGTTCTTTTTTTGTAGCGACTACAGTGGAATCTTGATTCAATACTCTCATATTACCAACAAATCAACCATTTGAATGCCCGATCTAAGCATAGAACATATTGTGATACCCATATTGCTATTCTTGCTCATATCCTATTTATTCATAATTATACCTTATGGATTGATACTTATCTTCAATAAACAGTTTCATACATCGGCCAATATGATTCTTCTCAATGTTGTTATATGGTATTTTATATTGGATGTTGTTACTGCTGTATTTCTGTTTTTGACTACCTTCTTTCCCGCTGTCTTTGTCAGCTTTTGTATGGTGAACTCATATATATGGAGTATTGCAGTTTGCGGAACGATCTATTCTCTGGTGCTCATGTCGATTAATCAACTTTGTCGAGTCCTTTATCCCACGCGATTATTGTTCAAAAAGAAAAAATGGGTTTTGATTAGCTCTGGACTTGAATGGATTGTTGCTATAGTCATCCCAATTCCTCAACTTGGGTCGTCTGCTATGGTAAGAGTATTGTCATGTGGATCCTTAAACTTTAAAGGTAACTCATGTTAGTAGCCATTCTGAGTACTGAATCAACCATGGATGAGAGTGAATGTAATTGACGAAGGGAGAAAAACAACATCGTCTATTTCGGGGTTGATAGGCACTTTAAACATCCCCTATCGTTGAGTGCATTATTTTTCATAGACTACGATGGATCTGCGCTGAAAAAAGGAAACTAATATTATTAAAGAGGTTTTAACAGCTGATCCAATAATAAAAATATATCGGATTATTAGCTTGACAACGTCATACAGTCCATAGAATTTATTTAGGATATTTCTTTTTTTTGTTTCGCAGTCTTGTGATGCATTGCTTCCTAGTCTCATACTCGATGTTTACCTATTGATTATTATTACTATTATACCCTGCGCTATAATGGTTCTCGTTCACGTGATCATTTTTCTCTATGCTTGGCGATCTGCTAAACGTGTGGCGCCTGCAGCTAATACTCAAGAAACGCAAGCAGCCTATCGAATGGGTTTGAATGGTAGAGAAAAAAGTCTTCTGAAGCACATGATGTTCATGCTTATTGTCTATGTTATCGGTTGGGTACCCCTTTATATTGTTAAAATATTCCCCGTAAATACATCAACACAATCTATAAAAAGTATGCTGGCGGCTTTACCTATTGCTAGCTGCTGGATCAGTATTACAGATATGCTCGTGTATCATCATGAAGTTCGACGATTTGTTTGGATGCATGTATCTCATTGGGTCAAAAGAGACGATCTATGAGTGCCTTCTATCATAGAAAATATAATTTTTCGAACTGAATCAAATGGGAGTCTACCGATTAGCTTATACAATTATCTTAAAAACAACAGCTCAGAAAATATATCCTTGTAACTATACAAATGAAAACAATCAACTATCAGATGGCTGACACATTTATTCGAACCAACTAAGGACACCCTTATTACTTGTTTTGTTGAAAATGAATTTGTCATGTACGATATAAAGTATCCGTTAAGAAAAATTTCGATGTTGTCTTTTCCTAATTTCGAACTACTCTAATGAACAGTCTTTGAAAATCCTCGTTGCAGGATGAAATAGAGGTCGTAACGAAAACTTAAAAAATTCATGAGATACTGAGTTCTGTTTTCTTTTAGAGGACCTCGTTTAGGATTCTACAAACCTTATGTACAAACGAATCAGAGCAGAAACTTGAAGAAATATCATGAACGGAACCCTATATAACAAAAAAAAAGATTTTAAAAGCAGTAGCTGCTACAATTTAAGAGAGAATGTTGAATACAACTTCGTAAGATTTTTTGTGGTATAGGTTTACTACAGATTCTTACAAAATTTCTCTTGGAAACAACATGACTGATACTGAGAGTATGTTTTTATCATGAAAAACTGTGACAAAAATATTGCAATTTGCTTTATTGGCCAGTGAGAGCAAAGTTCTTGTTTTATTCATGGAAAATTTATGAGAGTTATCCATCTGATCGGATATCTGTATTCTCTTTTTTTATCGTACAGCTTCGATAATTATTCGATTGGTTGAATTTCAGAAAAATTGATTTACAGGAGCAATGCATAAAGTCTATCAAACACTGCCAACGTAAAATAAGATCTATGCAGTCATTTTTACTAGTATTTATACATATAAGTTATTACATTACAACTTTTTCGTTCGAGACACTTTATTTTAATTATTGAACAAAACAGTCATTTTTAGAATGTTATAGCTTTGGAATGTATTGTTTATTCGTGTATCAAATTGATTCTCATGTCTCCTATTTTAACATACCAAATTTCACATCTTACTATTGCATCATTTTCTTACAAATTTCGAATATCAACGTATGACAATGATAGTTTTCCTTTAGTTACATTTTTGTTTCTTTCTAAGTTTAACGTGTATTTGTTCATGAGTGATCTATATCATATATTCCCATAGCAGTAGACTTTTTTCATCCAAGACGATGAATAGAGGAGTAAAAATTTATTTCTCACATTTTCAGAGACGGAAATGCATCAGTATGACAAGTTAATAATCAGAAGAATAAGCACAACTAGGTAATAGAAAGAAAACCTAAATTTTCTTTTTTTTTGTAGAATAAGTAGCAATTAGAACAGTACAATAAACACGGTTCTATTACGAATTTCCGGCTCGATTCCAAAGACATCCTAGCTAATATTAGATTGGATGCAGATGTTAAACCAAGAATTTCTTAAGGTTATTGGTCGTAGCGAAAAAGCGCTTTATGTTCGTAAAATCTCTTATTTCTTTTTATCAACAAACACTTCGTCTGTTTATAGTAGAGTCCTGCGGGACAGTCCCGAATCCCGAAAAATCCCATTTGCCTCATCCCGCGGGATAAACGGGACTGTCCCGGAATTTTTTCGGGACGGGACAATTAGAAAAAATCTAGTGTCTCGAATTTTTAAATCATTACATAAAAACGTGTGATGCACTTTAAACTTTTTATTTATAACAAACAACGTAATATTTAAATCGAAAGCAGAAAAAAAGAAATATCGGAAGGTGTACTGAAAACTGTTCATCATCATTATTTTTTTCAGCTGTTTCTTCATATAATTATTGACTTCCTGTCGTCAATTTCATTTTTTTCTGATTTTACAGAAGGTGTTGAGTCAGTTGACTTTTCCTTTTTACACACTTCAACAACTAAAGAATAAATTTCATTTAAAACTCGCATATTTCTCTTAATAAATAAAAAATGATTAATTTTATCTGTATACAAATGTGTATGTGCTTTTTGAGTGTATGAAAATTAATCGGTACGAAAATTAGTCGAATTTAATTTTAACAAATAACTTTCTAAGTAGAACTGGTAGCTGATAGTAATGAGTTAAATAATGAGAAAGAAATAATTTTCATACAACGATAGACAAATTGTTGATATAAAAGACAGCACATGTGTGTCAGATATATCGAAGTTATTATAGACATACATTACCTCAAATAGGCTAATACATTTTAAATAACATCTATCACAAAAATCTCAGTGTGACTGATCTAATAATGATTAGATTAAAATATTCTTCGTCGGTTATATAAAAAGTTAACATACTATGGAAACAGGAGAGTACTATTTTTCTCAAATATCTTCATTTTCTTCGCGCAGAGTTCAAAGTACCAGTTTCTATTTTGGATAAAAGCAAATTTATTTTTATCTATAAATTTCTCAAGCAATTTTTGTTCGACAAATTTTCACTCTTCCTCTTTTTCCTATTGATCAGGTAGAAAAGGTCTTTTGTTTTCTTTGACTGAACTACGGAACACTTAAACATTTTTTTGTCAACGGGGCAAAAGGGATTCGGGACACGACAGACTTTGTCTCGCAAGTCTCTATCGATGTCATTTAATCAACTTTGTCGTGTTCTTATCCGACACAACTATTGTTCAAGAAGATAAAATAGGTTTTCATTTGTGCTGGATTTCAATGGGTTCTGGCATGAATTCTCAAACATCAGAGATCATTGTAGTTCGTAGTCAATCGGAGAATTGATGAGTCTTTTTGTTCAGGATTATCGTATTCATGTAGTCTACTATTTCAAAAAAGCATCCATAATTTCTCTCCTAAAAGTTCTTTTCGATAGACTGCAGTTGAAATGCACTGACACTCAATCAGTAGTTTTGTCGAGACTTAATAATGGACGGACTATGACCAATTTCTAAAAGCGAGAGCGAGAGAGTGCAAACTACTTATAATAATCTTATTTCATTTAACAGACTTGCCAGTCATTATTCCAAATGCTAATTTTTAATATTTATGTATTAACTACAATTATCATCATACCCTGTGCTGTAATGGTAATCGTTCATTCGATCGTTTGCTTTCTATAGTTGGCGATCTACACAGCGTGTTGCTTTTACAGTGAACGTCGTCAAAAAGTAAGCAGCATCTCGTTCCGTTTTCAATAATAGAGAAAAAAGTCTTATAAAACACATGACTTTTATGATCATTGTTTATGTTATCGGTTGGATACCTCTTTATATTGCTAAAATTTTCTTTCGAGTTCAATGATATAAAAAGTACTCTAATAAATATTTTGACGGTTTTGCCAATCTTAGCTGCTGGGTCAATACCATCGACATGGTCATTTATCATCGTGATATTGCGATAGCTTATCCGTGAACATTTGATTCGACTCCTCATAAGAACCAGTAGAACAACTGTAACACCATTTGCAACTTGAATGAAGCCGAGGAAAATATCGATACATAACGAATATTGGCAAGAAACTATACAAATGAATTTCATTAACCACTAGGCTGTAAAATAAAAAATACATTAGATTAGACAAACAATTCTCTGGAAGTGTTTATATTATTTCATTGATGATGCATTTTATGAAATCACGAGAAAAACCGATGATGTATTGCTTATTTTTTTCCCAATTGAGCTCGGTCAACTGATGCTTCTGTACAGTGAATAGATATCGTCAGATTTCCAACCTCACTAATATTCGTCGTTAAACTGCGTAGCTATTTATTTTGAACTAATGGAAATTTCATATTTTTTAAATAAAATCTATGTAAAAATGCTTATATTTATGAAAAATACAAAAAACTGAAATGCAGAAAAATAATTATTAATTTTGATGAAGATAAACATGCAAAAGTCTGCTTTTTCTAATACACTCGCTGTTCTTCATTGATTGCTACTTCCAATTTTTTTTCTTCTTATTTCGAACTGATTTTTTCAGCATGCTATCTGAAAGAAATGTGCAAACAGAATGGTATATAGAGTAAAATGTGTTGTTAGTTTTACACTGGATACCGGCTCCATCTATGTCAGAATAATTTAAATATACAGTTTTTCATTAGTTAATTTTAGAACTCCTTATTGGCAAATTGTTTATTGTTTATTTTCTTATTCCTCACATGTTTTACTTTCCCTTACAGTAAGAATACACCAATTGCGTAGAAATCCCTTGTCTCAAACAACAAGTTTCAGATTTGAATACTTCAATAATAAGCTCACATACATGGGACGTGTTTTTTTGGAACATCTTGGTGGTCAACGCATTTTTTCTTGTGCACATTGTGAAACACCATTAACAAACCGCAATGAATTAGTTTCAACACGATTTACGGGAGCAACAGGTCGTGCATTTCTATTTAGCCGTGTTGTCAATACCAAACAAAGTGCTGTACAGGAACGGGTAAAATACCGTTTGATTATGCGGAGATGCAAATGATGTTCACTTGAATTTTTCCTAGATGATGTTAACTGGTCGCCATTTCGTTCGAGATATAAGTTGTAAAAAATGTGATGCTAAACTTGGTTGGATGTATGAATTTGCAACAGAAGAAACGCAACGTTATAAAGAAGGACGAGTCATTCTTGAGCGTGCATTAATTAATGAGACCGATGGATTTTAGATGAAGGAACAGAGAAAAATATGACCTATGAACAGAACTGTTTTTTATTTATTTTTTATGTATATATTTATGTGTATATGAACATTTTGATTTGATTTGAAAATAATAAAAAGAAAGGTGTACAGCATATTTTTTAGATGAGATTTTACCACAAGGACATGTAATGGTGATTATAAAAGACAAATTGAAAATTAAAATTCTTGAAAATAATAATGAAGTATGTTTCATTTTTTAATTGCTGGTTTTTTGATAGACGATAAAAATATGTTTTCTTTTTTAAGATTCTACCATTACTGATACGCAATATTGGAGAGAATTTAAAAGCAGGAGAAGATGTTGCTTTAGTGCGTTTCGATGCATACGCTGATTTTCTCGCACCAAAAGCTATTCAAGCAGATGAAATTCAAACGTTAAACAATCTTGTTGAGTATGCAAAAGAATTTGTCCTAACTTTGTTCAACGTTTTGAATATTTTATTTCTAGTTCGATCAACAATCAATGTTGGATACTTTCAGCTGTCTATCGAGGATTATTAAAAAGAATTTTTTGGTTTAAACCACCTTGGGCACATCAATTTCAAGATGGTTTCTATCAGTTGCAAATAGGAAAATGTCAGCAAACTGGTCAATTGAAGTAAGAATATTCAATAGAAACATTATTTTGTGAAAAAAAGCTCAACGATTGAATGTAGACTAAAGTAATTTTGAAGTTTTTCCAACGTAATAGTTAATCCATCTAGCTTTTAAGAGAGTACAAGATAATTAGTAATACATTTCTTCAAAGATACTCTTCGATCAATATTCTATAGAATTGATTTTTATCAATCTGAGCAACAACAAAACAGTATTTTCTTATTCTTTACTTTCAGAGTTGCTTCAACACTTCCATATTTCACTTCAAATTGTATTTATTCATCAATTGATAAACTTTCCAATGTTCATACAGTTGATATATATATATCGACAGGGGGATTAGCAAAAAATTATTCAGCAACCAAGGAAAAACCTAATTCACCCATATATGATAATGAAAACGAAAGTGAATCATTAGATAGTGAAAACCGAAAAAAAGTAAAATTATCTGGCAACGAAACAAATCATATCAATGCACAATCATCAACAAAACGAGTTCATTCACTTGATGCCACATTACTAAATCAACTGCTTGAGAATAAACAATTTTTACTTGATATTGATTTATCATTTTTCTCAACGGATGATCCAATACGAAAGCAATTCGATGAAAATGAATATGAAATTCTTCGTTATGTTTATACGCGTATTGTACAAGAACATTCAAATGCAGAAATTTTACAATATATAACAGCCCGTTTGAGTGCATTAGAACAAATACGAACATTAATGAGTGAATATTTAACTGATCCAAAACAAGACCAACCAATAACTATTGAGTAAATAAAAATTCCACTAATAGTTTTTCGTTTTCATATATATCTCTCATGTTTAGTAATCCATATCTATCTGCATTAATTGCTATTATTCGTCACAAAAAACTTGATTGGAAATCGGTTCATGATTATGGTGCACAGTTATCAGATACACGACCGCCATTACATGTATCATCAGAAGGAATGATACTTTATTTACTTGAATCAATGGCAAAAGTTATAGAATCAATTGAAAAACATCCTATGATTATAACTATTTCAAGGTAAGTAAAAATACTGGTTATTCAGATGAATTGAATAGGACACGTCTTTGAAGAGTAGTGTTGATATTGAATATGTAGAAACGAGAAGCAAAATGAACGGAATGCTTCTAAGCTTATTTCTTTAGAAACATTGTAGCGTTTTACCGAAATTTCTTTTAAAAATCACACTCGTAGCTCTTTTTCATGAGCTGATGTCACACACTTGTTTTCTTTCAAGAATTCGATTCAATAGAGGATTGTTTCCGTTTTGCCGATGACCGATTTGATTTAATTTGCGTAAAACAATTTTTTTATGGAACAAATTCACGAACTGTCACTGGCCTGAGTAGGATCCCATCGAAAAAGCGAACGATACTCGTATCGCACTCGGTAAATTTTCAGAAGCGCAGCAAAACAAACTGCTTTAATGTCTCTTCATATTTTTCACTTAACAAGATGAGAATGTCGACATTCTTTTCCTAACACCAAAAACAATTAAGTTCATTGAGCCAAAGGATATAGATTAGCGTAGTCTGAAAGCTTTATACAATCGGCTTTTAGGTCGGAATGACGTATATTCATTTTCCGAATTCAATTTTACATAATGACTAATCTGTTTAGATGTGTTAGAGATGGAATTTGTTCATTGGAACAAGGTGATTTAATTCAATTACATTTGGAAAAAAGATTTCGAAAGATTTATAAAATCGATGATATAATTGGCAAAAGTTTATCAAAATCATTAGTCAACGATGATAATGAAGATGAATTCGATGACGAAGATAATTCTGATAAAAAATCTCTCACTAAAAATAACGATGATGCTACTACTCATCGATTAAATGTTAATACAACAAATGATGATAAAACTAGTCATACTGAAACAACTAATAACAACAAGGCTGCATCATCAAAAAACGATAGTGATATTCGTTTATCCTTATCTATGAATTCAAATAATTCAGCATCAATTTCACCATCAAAATCAAATTTATCACCAGGCGAAATCAAACCAATATCGCCATCGTCACTCTCCGAAACATCTCCTATATCGAACTGATTTTTCTTGTCTATTTGCTATTTCTAGAAAATTATCGTATTTCTGTTTTTTTTTTATTCATTTATTATCATTAAAAATGAAGAAGGGAGAAAAAAAAGTAAAGTTCAGAGCTTGGCTCTGTATTTTATCTGTGTGTTTATGATTTGCATTTCAAAATGCAGTCAATTTATTGTATTTTTCCTTTTTGCAATCCATTATTTCTCATTGAATGATATAAAACGTTCTTCATTTTTTTTGGTTTGTAAATATATTAAAATTAGATACTTTGTGTATTCTAGATCGAAACAAGAATGACGAAGCATCAGTCTAATATAGAAGTATGTAGTTAGTTGAAGGTATGAGTGGATGAGCAAAAAAGATTTATTTATCGGTTTGTTTTTCTTTTTGATTTAATCAGCCATCACACACAATTAAATCTAGTGAACAATGTCTAAAATCACCTGATGAATGTGACGGTGAAAAAAGAAATAAGAAACGTTTAATAAAAGATTCATTGAATAATGAAACTAAAATAAAACATTATACATTTGATTCGGACAATGATGATGGCGACAATCAACCGAAACCATTTGTCAAAAAGCAAATTCAACTAGTTGATAATCAAGAAGAAGTGCGCGTTGAAGAAAATTTTAATGATAAAAAAAATTCGAAAAAAAGAAAAAAATCACAAGATCGACAAGCACACTTAACAACAACCAATGATCCAAAAGCTCAAATATCAGAACAAGTTTTTGATAATCAGCAGAAAACTATCAACGATGATGAAGTTGAGCCAACAATTGATAGTAATAATGATATTTCATTTGAAGAAGAAAAAAAGAAATCGCTTGCAATACTTGATCAAATAACAAATGCAAAATCGTTGGTAGCGAAACCTAATACTTCACAAGAGATTCAACCTAAATCAATACTAAAACAAACTAAAGAAACACCTGCCGTGTAAGTTGAATAGTTATATGCCGAGAAGAACATTTTCTTTTCATCGCATGATTTTCTTTTATAATTAGCGCTTCAATCCGAACATATGATTTCGATGAGTCAAAATTAAAAACATTGTTTAATAAAGCATCAAATGTAACAAATACATCAAATGGAAATGGAGGATTTCAATTTCAATTTTTTAATAATACTCAACCAATTGTTTTACCTACTCCAAGTTGGTTCTATAAGATTCATCTACGTATATGTAAATATAAACGCTTCTTATTTCTACAGGAATATCTGTATTGTCTAAACCTATACCAAATGGAAATTTGAAAATATCGATAAATAAATTCGATAACACATTAAACGATGAAGATGACAATGTACAATCATCTTTAACAGGAGAGTAAGTATTATATCCGACACAAATTATCAATTATTTTCTATTATTAAAAATAGAGTTGAAGATAAAAATGCAACATTCTTCTTTTTTGATATTGATGATCGACTAAAAGGTAAATTTTGATTGTAAATGAAATTCAAAACCATTTTTATTTTTAAATTTAGATGGTTTAGAAAGTTTCGTACGTACTGAAGATCTAAATGAGCTCGCACGATCATGGCCAACAAAACGAAAAGAAATAGGCGAAGTATATAATTGCCCTTTTATTTTGGTACAAGGTTTTATAAGAAATATTTCATTTAGGCTCTCCGAACAAAACATCGTAAAGCTATTCAACGTAAAGATAAACACCGAGTATTTAATCATCGTCGTCGACAAAATCAACATATAACATCAAATCATAGTTCGAAATCGAATATTGACTAATATTTTCTGTTGTTGTTATTTCTAAAGAAAGAAATTAAGAGAAAATTTGTTATCTATTCTTTTTTGTTATTAGCAAGGAAAGAGAATTGTTAGGAAGCTTTATCTTGCTTTTCGTTTTAGATATGATGTTCGTTCCGTCTGAAGGAGGTTTACCCTCAGGTGCGAGTGGCCGTCGACCAGGTGCAGGTCGTTCTACTGGACCACCATCAAAATGGGATTATGTTAAAACATTTTACTATAGTCCAGTGAAATGGTAACTTCGATGAAACAGCAATAATTTGACTTTGCACTCTTTTTCTTTTCTATCTTATAGGGATTTCGTCAAAAGCATTGGTTTTTTTGCTGTTGCCGTTTATATGATTCGTGATTTTGCATCAAATGATCTTCTTCCAATGGAGTAGACCAACAGTTGTTTTCCTTTTTTTTTGTTTGAAATAAAAATAAGTAGTTAAGATCAAAAGAAAACTATCTGTCAAACATATTTTACTGGTCTTTATGAAGAAAATTTGTTTCTAGTTAGTATTCAGCTTGATTTCATTAAGTATTTCATAATCTTTCTTGTCATTTGTGTATTCAATTTCTTGGCACAAAAAAAATCTATTTTCTATTTTTATTACAATATTGATTTCTTGTTGGTTGACACGTTCGATACTTCCTACAGTTCACATGTTCAAAAACGTCAAACTTCAAGGTACAGCATTAATTACATAATATGTTATTTTTATTGATATCAATGGAAAAAAAGTCGCTTCTACAACACACTCATTGAAGTTAAATATATTATTTTCCCGATTGATGCTATATTATAACATGAACGTTCATCATTTCTTCAAACAATAAAACCAATTTGATTTCGAATGGACTCATTGAAATCACCTCAGCCCATAAATACTGGACGGTTTGTTGGAATTATTCCAGAATAATTGGCATGTGCTAATGGGCAGCCATCTCCTGTGGATCCACCCGTCCCCCACCATGTCGGAAAGTCTATTGCATTATTTTGTAATACGAAAAAGATGATTAAAACACCGAAAGCCACACCGCAATCCATTGCAGCCGAAAAAACATATGCATATCGTTTCCACCATGATCGTGCATGTCGAAGAAGTACGAAGTTAAAAAAAAAGCCAACTAAAAGCCACGATGGATAATTACCAGGTGGAGTAGGTGGCATATAGCACGTAGCAGACAGCATAATGGGAAAATGAATATATTTTAGCCATTTAACTTTAGGAAATTTTTTCATCAGAATCCAAAATGGTATAGGAAGAAGAGCACCGATTAGAAAACCATAAAGTAATGATGAATACATAGATTGTTTACCGAACATTTTTATTGGGCCTAAAATATAAATCTTATTAAATTGATAAGATATTTTTTTTTCCTAAAAATGATGATTTCAAAATCAACACAATTTTTCTTGTAAAAAACGAAAGCTAACAGCGAACCCAATCAAACTTACCGATAGCGCCCCAAATAATAGATGCACTGAAAAATAAATTCGCATTAGGACATGTCCATCGAGTATTTTGAGGTGTACAAATATTTTTAATATTATCCATCAAATACATAGCCGTTAAATAATTCACAATGCCTGCTATGATTGTACCTATCAATTGAGTAGCAAACATTGCACGTGGTGGAATCTAAATATATGTGTTTACAAAATTTATCGTTAGATGTTGTACGTATATCATACTTTCATATAATGGCCTAGTTTTAAATCAGAAATTAGAAGTAACGCTTGATATTGTGTAATATACCCATAGGTTTTAAATGTGACATTAGCTAATGGGTCACCTGGCATGACAATGCCAGCAACGAATTCAGTAATAACATTAACACCTACATAAACATGAATGTATTAGAAAAGTAGAAGTAGTGATTACTTGCCAATTGTCTGATTGGTAACGGCTTGAACTATACCAGTTGGTAGAACGAAAATAAATGCAATACCAACAGCAACTAAAATATGCATTTAAAGAGTATAAACCTATTACAGAATTACTAAGTAAGAGAGAAAAAAAATTCTATTGATTTCAATGAATCAGAGACAAATTCATGTAATTTGGTCTATCTGATGTTAATAAAATAACTGACACTATTCGTAGACATAGATCAGTATAAAACAATATCATATCTCGCTCATGACTTATAAACGATCTAAATTTCACTTACGAAATAGATAATACCATGGCATCAATTGACCAAAATGACAAACAACAATAGCCAGAGCGAATGCTACAACAAACAAAACTGTGTACCTAAACAAAACGATATTCTATGGTAAGCGTGTTTTTCTCTCTCTCTCTAAGGAACCAATGTACATACCACCATTCAGGTGCCTCTTGATACCGAGACATAAGCATAGCATGAACATCACTGTGATTATCTTTTAGCGACAATCGAAATTGTTTCATTATTGTTTTACCTTTATATCATAGAAGATGTTTAACTTCCTTCAACAACAACACAATATATTAACATACCATTGTACAATATAGTATGAACAATAACTGATGAAATAGCAGCGAATGACACAGCATATGATAGAGCAAAAATAGTTGATAGTCGAGGTTCACCTAGTCGGTCAATAAATATCGTAAAATTTAGAAATCCTTAGCATTCATCATACCATAGTTTCTATAAGCTGTTTCGTTTAGAAGCAAGTTGGAATTCAGCACAGCTGATACATTATAGAAATAGCCATCGACAGTAAAAACACGATTACTAACTATTGGCATTGCTTTTGAACCCCATAGATTGGTATAATATGCAGTCGGTACTATCGTCCATGCAAATGCAACAAAACCAACCAAAATATTTATTTGAGCCCTATGAAGAAATAAAATAAAATCTCTTCATTTTGTATTTTTTTTGCTCACCAAAATGGCACAATGATAGGTGAACCAAGAAAAGAGACCCACGCATTCCAATCTAATTCTATTGAACCAATACCAAGTCCATTGATTCCAGTAAGTTGTGAAAGAATAACATTATCGGGTTTGATCATACACAACCAGGAGAAGAGAGAGAGAACAGGAAATATATAACCAGGAAACCAATACCATAGGAATTGACAAAAAGATGCAACGAAAAAGAATCGAAGACGCGACATTTTCCAATGTGATTCTTTGTTTGCTTCTTCTTTACTATCGCTATCTCTGTCGTCATGTAAAGTTCGAAAAAGAGTACAATTAACAAGATTAGCTGGCCAAACCATAGCCGCTGGCCAAACAAGAAACTTTCTCACGATACCAGCTATTCCATAACCTAGAATTTGTGACGTGATGACAAATAGAATAGCAATTATGGGATGTAGCGTTCGCTTATAAAATATACGCAAAGTTGTTATAACATCAATTGCATATGCTGTACTCTATTTGATCGACAATAGAAAAAAAAAGAGCAATATTTATTATGTTTTTCTTAATGAAACTTACACAGGTGGCATTAGCCATTGCTGTAATTATACAATGTTCTTTGATAGTAAACGGACCCGGATTAAGAGTGAAAGACCATTGAAAAATTTTAAATTTTCTAGTCGGTAAAATTCTAGCCATTCCTTTTCCTAATGGATATGTTAATAATTGAGCAACAAGAGTACCAACAAAAAGTGGCGATGTTCGATACCAAAAAAATTGATTTACAAATGAAAGAAGACAAGTAAATAGAAGACCAAGAAACCATGATCGAAATGTTAAGACCAATATAGAAGTATCGTCTTTATTTGAAACATGCGCTGCAACATCTTCATCCGATGCTATATCATTTTCATCACCAGTAAATGATTCTTCTGGTACGATAGCATCCTGTGAATTATTAACGATAACTGCTGAATCATCTTGACGAAAACCAACATGTAAATTATCTAGATCAGATTCAATATTTTGAAATGATTCATATGGAACATTAATGTTTTCTTCATCATCTTGTGAAAAGACGGGATTGTTTGCACTAAATTTTATATAATTTACTGCGAGCTTTTTATCATGCGTATTAATTTGGTAGCTAGGTGAGAGAAACCGAACACGACTAGTTGCCATTTATTTTGAAAGTGTATCACACATTCATACCTAAAATCTAGAATAATAGAAACTGTCTTTTATCTTTTCTATTTTAGGAAGGTTCTTTAGCAATAGCAACGGAAAAAATATGTTAATTACACTGCTAATAACATGTATGTAGGAAGTAAGGTTAAATTGCAATCGAGTGGAAAAAAAGGATGTTAAATATATCAGATAAAAATGAAAAAAAAAGAGATTAAATGTTTTTCATCAAGCAAAAAATTATTCAGAGTGTTATTGAAATTTTATATTGCGTAATTAATTTTTTTAACAATCAAAATATATAGATAAAACGGTAAGGAGGAGGTTATTAAACTTTTCTTGTTAAAAAGGTTTAATAATTCTCATTGGACATCAATTTTGATCAATACATTAATGGTTAAGTCATTACATGAAACCGTAGTGATCTTTATGACGAACGCAGAGTAATATAATCAAAACAAGCTCTTTTATTTTATTTAATAAACGAAAATTTTATGCAGACTTAAATCGATTTTCTGTTTCTTGTTCTACTTTATATCATTATTTTTATTTCTATTTTCATAATTTCTACTCACCATATTTTGTGTTCTACTGCATATACGTTGACTATTCATGTGTAGAGAATCGATAACGTAACGCACATGCTAATGGCCACCTTTTTTCTGTGTTATAATGTATGATTCATTTATTGCCATTCATTTCAAAGTGAAAGTCGTATTTTGTTTAACGGGATTGTTTGTCGTCATAATGGATAAAGTATGAATTATCTTCTACAATTCTAAGATTTTACTTTTTCAACAAAACAATGCACCCAGTAAATACTCTTCTGCAACTAAGTTTTATATGTAAACGTGAGTATGTTAAAATGAGGGGGAAAGAAGCAGAGAAGAACGAGAGAAGAAAATTATGCTATCAGGCACACGGCAGTATCGAAAAACAGGCACAACGTGTGCATCGTGGAGAAATGACAAAAATAGAACAAAAAAAAAGTCGCAGAAAAGAAAAGAAACAGAGACTGCTAGTAGCCTAATCACTTCTCTGTAAAGGATTCTGCATCATTATATTACAATTGGCTGGTATTTCACTAGTAACACTATAAAAATATGATCAACTAAATCAGTAATTATTATTATATATCATTGACTAATTACTTATTAATCGTAACAGACTATTGCGCAGTACATCTACCTCGTGATAAGTTTGCATGCCAATCCTATCCGTCTATATATTTATAAGAGCATGAACAAACGATATACTTGAAAAATTTGTCGAAAAAAGAATGACTGCAAAGAACATGACGTATGAAAACTTAATTGAAATGAAGCAGCAAAAATAAAAATGAATCCTCGGAATTCTATTTAACCATTCTCTGATGATAACTCAAGATATATTGAAGTGATATGTTTATTAAGATCCAGTGGTATATTAAATATTTGAAATAACTTTTCAAGTGATAGCTATTGAAAAACAATGTTGGCATATAAAATTCAATGAAAATTTTCATTTATATGGTATAGAAAGACTATTTGACGGAAAAAACCAAATGAAAAAAAAAATATGAACAGTTCGTATAAAAATTCACGTACTTAGACTGGGTTTTTTTGGAACTTAGATCTTTGTGTAGAGATACTCTTATAAAACTATTGCAATTATAACAAAATTTTCTAAAAACTTTTTATGCTTTGCAGATGTTTACATTTATTAGGCAAATTTTTAATATTTAGGTAAAAAAACTCTGAAGACCTATATTTAAAATCAAAGAAAAAAAATGTTGTTATCAATTGCAGAACTAATTCATATTTTCAAAAAGATTTCTTTGACAGTTAAATAAATGAGTACAATAACTTTAAAACAGTTTTCTCCGAAGTAGTAACTTGTTTACTAAAGCCACATGATATGCCTAGTTCGACTTCGAATATAAATTGACATCTGCATAACTATTCACAATTCGAAAAAAAATGAAAAAAAAATGGCGACCATTTAAAAACCATTCCAAAGCAAAAGCAAAAGATCATCTAACTGGCAGTGCATTTTGACTTTAGAAATAGATTTAGATTTACCTTTTGTAAATTATAAAATTTATAAATTAGCTGGATCGTTACTGTGTTTTCTTAATGGCGTATTCGCATACGTATTTTATGTTTGGTCCAGAATCCGAATATGGACACAAAAGTCGAGTGATAATGTCTGTGCAATTTATCTTGCATTCGATATAGAATATATTTACTCAGTTACGGTTTGTTGTTAATGAGACAGTGTACCTTGTTTCATATGTTAGATGCATGATGTTAGTGCATTTCTTTATTGTGCTTTTCGAGCTTCCCAAGTCGAGCAATCCGACGGTAGGCACCTATCGGAACCCATCCGATCCGACTGGAATCCAATAGGATTGTATCAGATTGTAGGATATTTTCAGATTCCTATCGCATCCGATGTCGGATCAGTCGGCCTGGATTCGTGTTCTCAAAAAATCGTGTATGTAAACATTTCCTGTTTGTAACCGTCGATGCTGTGCTCGTGACGTGTCGAGGCTTTTAAAACCTGTGATATGAGTAAGAGCTTCCAGTTCAATTAGTGAGATGTTTTAGTACTATTTGTGAAAGTGTCCCTGTTTTTCGAGTTCTTTGTCTATAGCATAATCGAATTTCTGTAATCGCCGTGGTTTATTTGAAGATGGAATAATTGTTATTGGTGTAAACTTCATAGAGGTTATATTCTGTTTTTTCCGTTTGGTATCGCAAGTAATATTCAATTTTTTTTTCTTTATGTATATTGCTATCTTCTTCTGAAAATTTGGTCAGCATCAGCTCGTAGTTAGGGAGTTCGCAACCATTGTAACGTAGAATAAGCATTGCAGTGTCTTCTTTTCGAAGGTGATTTATGTTGTTAGACGAGTGCTTATCGGATGGATTTCCTGCAGTGCAGAACACCGCAGCGAAGCTTGTCTGAAATAATTTGGGCGGCGTAACTGATGCAAATATGCATCTCTTCATGATTAGTACTTATCAATCGCCTAGGCATATAATGTTTGCTTACATATTCATGTATCTCATACTTGAAACTTAAATTTAACTGAAGCTTTAAGTTTCAGCTATAGTCCTTGATAGTTCAAGTTTGAAGTTGAAACCTTCGAATTTCCCAGGTCGTTCATTCCTACAATCGGATCTGAAAATGGATTGCCCCTTGAGGGTGTGGGTGTGCACACCCACACCCAAACTAAATCTATACCTATAACCTAAATTATGAATGGCAGCGAAGTCAATTTATCAATTTTATAATTTATAAAAACTAAATCTTTTTCCAGGAGTGGCGTGAAAGCATGACAGTGTTTTTTTTCATTTATATTCGAAGTCGAATTAGGCAGCTATTCTAAAAATCAATTTTTTTTAATATTTTTTTTAATTGGAAAATTTCACTAAGGTTCGTTAAAACGGACGCTAGCGACAATCTGCATGATTCGATTTTTTTCTTGAGGTTTCTTATCTTGTTTCTAAAGAGTGACGTCAAGTATTCGTTTGTGATATTATTGAGTTTGAACAAGTGTTTTACGATTCTTTTCGCGTTATAAGATTATCTCTGAAACAAAATATTCCAACTTTGAATGAGCTACATTGAGAAAACTGGAAAGAACTTGATTAAGTATATACACAAGTCTCCGCTTTATTTTCCCGTCAATGTCGATTTCAATCAGCGATAAAGATTTCACAAACATTTTTCAATAGATTTCGTCTTAAGTATAGAATCCTAAGATTTGAATATAGTCTCAATACGTGCATTGAAATTTCAAAAGAACGATAACGCAATATTTGTGTTTTCAGGCTTTATCACCAGAAACTATTTTCTCTTTCATTTATCGCTATCGAGTTCATCTTTATGCGCTAATCTTTTATTTAACTATTTATATTTTATGTCAAATGGAGCTGAGAATAGATTTCTATATGCTTCAGCTAATTGTTCAACATAGAAAAGTAATTGTGTATTGATAGATTATCTTACTAGGCTTCATGCTGCATTCGTGACGATAACTAGAAATACTTTTATGTGAATAATAACATGTCAAAATTCTTATACAAGCTTTAAAGAAAAATTAGTGAGCGACTAAATAATAATTAGTTTCATCAATGTTGCAGATGTTTAGAGTTACAAAATTGAATTTATAATCGTAATTTTGATTTTATTTTAGAGAACTGTAGTACTAAATGAGCGAAATATTTGACATTTCTATGACAATATTCTTGGATATATTTAATAGAAAATTTCATCATTAGTCATTCAAAATGATATGTTTTGTAAGAGTTATGAGTCCTCAACATTTGGATATGATTAAATAGCTGTTAACCGAAAAAGTGCTTACCTAAATTGAATTTCAAATTCATCAATCGTATTTCTTCTGATTTCCCAAATGTTTTTACTCATCAATAGGAGAGCTTAACAAAAGCATTGTAGATAAAAATCTTATAATACTATCGATTAATTGTTCTGATTTTATCGTAGTTGATTAAAAATAATCATCTTAGAAGAAAATTGTGTATCATAGGAGCCAAGGTTCTATATTTATCGTGTCTACTTCTAGGCAAATTCGACTGGTAAATTTTATACCATTATATTAGCAGTTCTTGATCTTTTTAACGGTTACCAAATCTCTGATTGACTCGACATAACAATATCTATAAATCGAAAACATAGATTATTTTTTTATTTACTAACTATTGTATGCTAATTTCTGTGAAATTCAATCCGAAAAAAAATATCCTTTTTTTTTAATAAAAATAATCGGAAAGAAAATCTTTCAGATATTCTAGAAGCATTGATTTTGAAATTAATACGAGTAAATCGAGACATAAATTATGCATAATTCTAAAAAGTATTCACGAGTAGTTCAATATCAAATGATTTTGATTCTGATAATGTTTCTATCTGATGGTCTATGCATTTCTTTTTTTGAATAGAAATTCAAAAAGAAATACTTCATGCAATTATCATGTGATAAATGGTGATGAATCAAGACTACATACATAATGTTTTTGCACTGCTTATTGATATGTTTGTAATAGGCTCTCAAAAAGAAGTCAAGTGTAAGAATAACATTCGAGCGAAGTCGAACCATACATGTAATAAATTCTTATCAAATGAATTGAAACTAATGTAAATATTTTAATTATTTATGAGAAACATGAAACGAAAGAAAAGCTCAAACCTTTGAAAGTTATAACTGTTTTAAAAAGCGTATTGAAACCTTATGTTGAAAAAATAAACAATTTTTTAGCCTTTTTTTTCGTTCTAATACAAATAAGTTTTCATGTCAATTGATTGTAAAACATTGAAATATAACTGACATCTATTATGAAGTAGCTAATTGATCCGTTGCTATGCAATGTCTCGAGCAACGCTCGTGTTAATGGTATAGGCAGAAAAGTGTTTCATTCATTTTAGTTACTCTCTAACAACCATGCCAGGAAAAGTTGCCGAGAAAAAAGCGGTCAATATCTTGTAGAATGTTTATTTTATATTGAATAGATTCAATTTTAGGCTGCGCCAACTCTCGCTGGAATCACCGTACAACGTCGTCTCAGTCAATTGCCTCGTCAGTCAATCATAGCAGGTTTCCGGGTACAGAAGAATTAAAACAACGATGCGTTAGAAGAATTAAATTTTAATAAAATTTTTCTAGGATGAAGATCAAGATTTGGGTAATATGCCTGATCTATTAGACGAAGTAAATATTTAATTTGTCGTACGATTTTATGCTCATTCGATTTTAATTAGGGACTTCGAGCGGTTCGTCCAGATGATCAATTAAAATTAACAGATGCAGTATGATTGTTACAATCGTCAAGAAATGATTCTATATAGGATTTCATTTTCACTTAGGAATTAAATGAAGAACATACACGAATTCTTACAGCGCGTAATCCAAATGCAGCTGAAAATATTGTTCGATTCAGTTATAAAGTATGTAATACATACATCTAATTAGAAGAAGAAAAAAAAGAAATACTGAATTGAATAATTTAGGAGCGAACATTTAAACCCATTCCACAAGTGGATCAATTAGCTGTTCATTTTCAGCTCGATGGTAATCTCATTCATAGAGATTCAGAAGAAGGAAAACGACAATTAATTCGCGATGCTGGAGGTCAATAATAGTGTTATCAATAACATATATATTTTATGTTTCTTTCTTAATAGAACATGCAGCTGAAGAAGCAGAAGCGCCAGTAGCTGTTGTTCAAGTAATATTCTAAATTGAATTGTTATAGATTTATTTCTCTAATTCACTTTTTTGTTTTAAAGGAAATAGCGAAAGAAGGTGATGATGACGATGAAGATAAAGTGAAAAAACCTGCTACAACTGGTGGTAAAGGAAAAAAACTTACAAATCAATTTAATTTCAGCGAACGAGCATCTCAAACATATAATAATCCGTGTCGAGTAAATAATAGAAAATAAAACGAATCTTCAAGTTGTTTATTCTATGCTCTTAGGATCGTGAAACATTTGTTGAACAAACACCACGAGTTGTTTTTAGTGACAATGTTTCACAATGGTCAATTTTCGATGCCTACAATGAAGATTTTGATCAACAAGTAAAATAAAATTCGCGTTATAAAATTAACAAAAATTTGATTTCAATACTTTTTCATTTCAGCAAAAAGCAAAAGAAAAAGAACATAAGAAAATCGGAGCCAAAAAAGATGATGAACGAAAAAAGAAATTTGTTGTCACCGAACAATCAGTACGAGAAGAAATTATTTTGTAACAAAAAAAAAGTGAAGTCTTATTTTTTTATCTGTATGAAATAGGGTGATGATATGGCTAAATTAGCTCGATCGAAATCAGCTAGTATATCACTTAAAATACTTGAACGTATGATTAATCAAAATACTTTTGATGATATTGCACAAGGTTAGCGATGATTGATAGTTTACAAGAAATTTCTTATTGTGTTTGTTTACTCTAGATTTTAAATATTGGGAAGATGCAGCTGATGAATATCGTGAACAAGAAGGTAGTCTTTTACCATTATGGGTTTTTCAATATGAATTAGCAAAAAAACTTGCTTGTACAAATTTGGCTTGGAATACATTTTATACGGATCTATTTGCTGTTTCATTTGGTTCATGTATGATTATATTTAATTTTTTAATTTATTATTTCTGCTTTTCTATGTAGATGATTTTCTTAAACAAAGTCGTGGAATGTTTCTAATTTACTCATTAAAAAATCCAAGTTTTCCAGAAAATATTTTCTTTGCTGATACTGGTGTTATGTGTTTGGATTTTCATCCAAATCATCCGAATTTACTTTGCAGTGGTAAATTGAACTATTACGTATTTTATAAAATACTGTTTAATCATAATTTCAATGCATAGGATTTTACGATGGGTCAGTTGCTGTTTATAATATAGCAGAAGAAAATAAACGACCCAAATATCAAAGTACAGCTCGTAACGGCAAACATACAGATCCTGTTTGGCAAGTACGCTGGCAAAAAGATGATTTAGATGGAAATCTTAATTTCTATTCAATATCATCCGATGGTCGTATTGTTTGTTGGACTTTAGTTAAAGTAAATTTTTATTTAGAACAAATAAATTATTCCTCTGCTCATTTCGTTTTATAACTAGAGTGACTTAATGTATTCTGATGTTGTTCAATTGAAATTGGAAAAACCAGCAACTGAATCCGATGAAGGAGTTTCATTAACAACACTTGGTAAAATAAAACAAACAAAAAAAATTTTCATAACACAACACTAATATTTTCTTCATTTGTTTTAATAATAAAAGGATGTGGAACATGTTTCGATTTTAATAAGCAACAAGATTATTTATTTATTGTTGGTACAGAAGAAGGAAAAATTCATAAATGTTCAAAATCATATAATAATCAATATTTGGACACATTCTATGCACATAATATGGCTGTTTATGCTGTACGCTGGAATACATTTCATTCAAAAATCTTCATTAGTTGTTCAGCTGATTGGACTGTTAAAGTTTGGGATATCAATTTCAAGTAAAAACTTTTCTGCGGAAGTTTTATTCAATTTGTTTCTTTTCTTTTTGTAACTAGAGATCCATTATTTGTCTATGACCTTGGCAGTGCAGTTGGTGATGCTGCTTGGGCACCTTATTCGTCAACTGTATTTGCTGCATGTACAGCTGACGGAAAAGTTTTTGTATTCGATTTAAATGTTAATAAATATGAACCACTTGCTGAACAAATCATTGTACAAAAGAAACGTACAAAATTAACACATATTGCATTTAATCAACATTTTCCAATCATACTTGCTGGTGATGATCGTGGGAATATAACATCGGTGAAGCTCTCACCAAATTTACGTAAAAAACCAAAAGCTAAAAAAGGTCAAGAAGTAGCCGATGGATCAGAATTTGAAATTGCTAAATTAGATAAAATTCTTGCATTAATCCGAGATCCTGACGATGCAAAAACGAAACCTACACAAGGACAACAAAGCACCACAGCAGCTGCTAATACCAGTTAAATAATTAGTCTTTTATTTATCTCAATTTTTTTTTATAAGAAGAATTTCTCTTTTTTTCCTTCAACTGAAAAATATAATGATCTGCGCTTTCTTCTATCTCTATTTCCGATTGAATGAATTCGACGCATCAAAAAAATGATGTAAGTTTCTAATACGAAATATGAATCGGTTCAAAAAAAAAGAACAACTAAAGGCTTTTATTATTTTTTATAGGATACTGTAAGACAGATAATAATCTAATAGCGTATTTCAAAAAACAACTATTTAGATTCGTTTGAATGATATATCAACAACGAAAACTTATGATGAACACGATCATAATGATAATAGTGTTTGTTCTTTGTATAGTATTTGATTCGAATACATGAGAAAACTTCTAGCGTACAAAATCTTCGTTATCTCAAGATTCCGGTGATCCTGAACAAGAGTTAACACGAATTTTAACAACAGAAAATCCACATGGATCGAAAAATTTAGTTATGTTTAGTAATCGTGTAGGTTTTTATTAAATAATCTAATCCGAATATTCGATCACAAACGCAGTTCATTTTAACTTAGGATAAACAATTTGTACCATTAGGAAATTTGGAACAACTTATAATACATTACTCGTATGAAGGAAATCTTATACCAATCGATTCTGAAGAAGCGAAAATTTATTTGCAAAACGAAAAAAATCGTTTGTATAATTAATAATTAAAAGGATGAAATAGAAAGAGAAATTGTATCTAGATAAAAATCGAATTCTTCCAACAGCATTACTTGATACTTACAAAACAAAAGAAAAAACGCCAATAGAAATTAAAACATCTAATGAAAACGTCGAACGTAAAATTTTGACAAAAACTCATTTTTTTGAATAAAAACGTTTTTTTTTTGTAAAGCTGTGCACCAAATAGGCGAGGAAGATGAACAACAAACTGTCACAAGTGAAATAACCGAGCAAAGTGAATTCAATGAATTGATTGATGATTCAGTAAAATTGTTAAACAATAAAATCAACTTAATCGCTATTTAAAAATCAAAATTTTAGAAAACAATTTTAAAAGTCGATAACTTATTATCCATTGAAAAACCTAAGAAACTACTTAATCGCTTTAATTTTTGTGAACAAGGCATACAAACATATACATCAACGAAAAAAGTTTAATATTATTTAAATGAATGAGCTAAAATAAATGTTCGTTTAGGAAGTCATAACTCAAACTGATCCAATAATACGTCAAAAATTTGTTGGCCTAGCAAATCAACGAATTATTTATCAAGAATATATGATTGATTATGAAAAACAAGTAGATTAAATATTTCTGTTCTGCAAGAATAAAGCTGAATTCGTTTTTATTTTCTGCAGCAGAAAAATAAAGATAAAGGAAAACAAAAAGTCAGTTATGGATCAAATAAATCAGTCGTAGAAAAACAACTTGTCAAAACAGATCGTCTGAAACCAGAAGTATAATTCAATTATTCTATATTGTTAATGTTCAGTTTTATATATATTTTTTTTAAAGACGATTGTTAAACGTCATCAAGTTCAGATTTTAAAAGGCATCGAACGCGTATTAAATCAAAATCGATACCAAGAATTGATTTACAGTACAGCTTAAATCTTTATGAGTCAATTGCAACTTTTGAGTATCATTGAGATTTTAAGTTGAATTCTACGAAAAAATTGTATTCCTTTAGATCGATACAAAAAGGAAATTTTATGAGTATCACAGAAATGAATTAGATGACACCAAATAGTCTATAAGTCGACTGCTCTCGAGCAGAAGCTGATCTGTTCTTCGTGATTACGAAATAGTGAATGTAATTAAATCATATCTCGGTGGATATGCAGATAGACAATTGAAAAAAGTATTCACTCACACTGAAAAGTTGCAATACACTCATATATGTAAATGCAGACCAACTTTCATGACAATTAGTTCTCCTTTTTCTTCTCTCTGCAGATTTCAAATATTTTGAAGATAAAACAGATGAAATTCGTGATCCAATGGGTACATTGTTTCCATTATGGAAATTTCCACCATCATCTGCTAATCGTTCTGTTACGGCGCTAACATGGAATCCAGCTTATTCTGATATGCTAATAATTGGATATGGACTTTGTAAGATTTTTCTAAATAATATGCCATCTATCTTTCTTTCTTTTTTACATTCTATTGTGCAAGATGATCGAGCTGAACGAATACAAGGTGCTATTGCTGTATTTACATTGAATAATGATCATCCGAATACTTTAATTCATACTGAAAGTACTGTACTATCAATTGATTGTTTACCTTCAAAACCGTAATATATATATATATATATATATATATTTGCTAAAACATTGCTCATATTTTATATTTGTTTGCTTTTCTCTTAATTTCTATATAGATATCTTATATGTGTTGGATTAATGGATGGTGATGTAATCGTTTATGATATATCTATTCCAGCTGGTAAAGCTAATTTTACAAATACCAATTACACGTGTAAACATTTTGGATGTGTCTGGCAAGTATGCAAAGAAAAACATTTTGTTCAAATAGTTTCCTGCAAATCAATTAATATTTATAAGGTTCGATGGTGCACATCATCGGCTAATCGTCAACCTTGTTTTTGTTCTATTGGTTCTGATGGAAAAATAATGCGATGGACATGTATTAAAGGTGAATTAAGACAAGTAGTTTTATTTGATTTACCAAGTTCAACGAAAACTACACGACTTGATGATAGCACTCTTTTATCTCTGCCAGGTATTGTGAAAAGCGAAAGGCTAAATAAAATTCGTGTCTTTAATTTCATTCACAATTCGAAGATCCTGCAATAGCATTTGATTTTCATCGTATTCGAACCGATATATTTCTCGTTGGGACAGAAGATGGAAAGATCTACAAAGCATCCATTGATGATCCTGGAATAATTGATATGACATTTGATGCTCATGAATTTGCGGTTTATTCTGTGCAATGGAGGTTCTGGTTTCGTTTATTTGTACTGTATGATTTATTCATTATTTCTGTTTTTTCTATAGTCCATTTCATCCAAATGTTTTTGTTTCCTGTTCTGCTGATGGTACAGTAAAAATATGGCATGAAAAAATGAAGTCTGTTGTTTTGGATTTCCATTAGTTCATTAGATTGATTTCTTCTTTTTTAGTGAATATTTAATGAGATTTGATTTATGCACAAGTTTACAAGATATTGCTTGGTCACCTTATACATCTACTATGTTTACTGTAGCTGGAGCAACTGGCAAAGTTTATATGTTTGATATTTATTCAAATAAACTCGAGCCAATATGTGAACAACGCTTAGCAAAAGAGTCGAGAAAGATGTGTACTAAAATTGCTTTTAATCCTATTCATCCAATATTATTAGTTGGCGATGAAACGTATGTTACAGAATAGGACATCATCGAGTAGACTAATTTCATATGCAAAATTTTTCAATCATTTATTTTTCAAAACATGAAAAATTCGGAGCTCTTGTTCAAGTAGTCTTATACGTAGTGAAAGAAATCTGAATCCTATCATTAGTAAATCAGCCCATATTCTCTCTTTCTTCCATAGTGTATAAATGAATATCTTCCATCAATTTAAGTTAGAAGAAATTCATTTAGTCCAAATCATTATGTTCTATTTATTATTTTTCTCTATGTTTTTATTAGTGGCTGGACTATTTGTCTCAAACTTTCACCCAATCTTCGAAAAAAAGCAAAAGTATGTTTTTTGGTGTATTTTAAATATAATATTTCTGTTTGTAAAGATTCGAAAAGGCATCGATATTGAACACAATTATAATCTTGAATTTGATAAACTTGCACAAGAACTATCGCGAACAGTGACTGGAGATTCAATGAACGATATTCTTAATGATCAAATGAATGATATTGAGGATTAAATTTAGTGTTTTGTTATTTTTTATTTTATTTCGAATTGTTCGATATCCATAATAAGTCGAGCGAGACTACCAAGTATTAAATAAAATCTGTCCAGTGTATTTGAAACTAGATTTCCAAGATAGATAGTACTTTTATGTATCGGCATTCCATATGTATAATTGAGAAATATTTCAAAATTTTCTTGAATCTGTTTAAATAATGTTTGAAGACTCTTTATCGAATAATCAGTTAAGATATTTTCATTTATAATTGATGAAATTTTCTCTTGAATATCTTTTAATTCAGCGGAAAGATTTTCTTTGTAGTGAATAACAAGATTATGATTGATTTGAATAGATGATTCTCCGCGCATTTGTCTTAATGCATGAACACGATAAAGTGCTCGTTGAAGCAAAAAACAAGTTGAATGTAAATTTTTTTGTAACAGTCGAAGTTCATTACATAAATCATACGAAAATTTACATTGATATTGATCTTCTTCTGTATCAAATAAATTAATATTATCTTGTGAAAGATCATATTGTAATTGACGTATAGTCATACTGTTTTTTGTTAGCGAAAGAAGATTTTCTGTTTGCCGAAAAAACAATTTCAAAATTGAATTCATTTTTATAATCGAAATATTAAAAAAATATATTCGTCAATATTTTCTATATATAGAACATGGCGCATTAAAAATACTGTCTCATAAAAATCGATTCCTCTATAAGCTCGAAAGAAAGTATTGCTGTTCATTGGCTGCAGAACATTGCTCAGATAGTTACTACTCATGTATTAGATTACGGTGAAATTACGATCCCGCTGTAATTTTCGTTGTTATTTAGTAAAACTTTCTGAGATTTTTACATAAAGCTTATTCAGATTTAATAGAAACAAAAAATTTCAAAAAACATTGATGATTATAAGATCCAATCTCGGATTTCAACACGGAATCCTCGAACACTCCTAAGTATTCATTCGGATGATAGCAAAATAATAATTTTCGGTTATCACCGTAGGCGGCTTGAATTCGACAAAAATCTTAAAACTATAGAGATTTAATTGACGAAAGTCATGTTAAAGCAAAACGAAACTATGCAATATGGGATGCGCGCATACGTTTTGTCTATATCCAGCTAACTGACGTTCTTGTTTACTTGAACACGTCGCATCATTTTGCAATATAAATCGATCACGTGAATCTTAATATATGCAATAATCATTCTCGTCTAATGCACCCACACATGCTGTATGACATGAAAATTAAGCTATTTTACGATTTGTTGTCGGATCCCAGATTTAAACAATACCTTCAATTTATTAGTGAATTTTTCTAAAAGATAAATTTCAAAACGAATTCTTTCCTTTGTGAGTTCCAGCAGTAACAAACTGTCCTCGATCACTGTAAACTACACTAGTTACTGTATCTGATTCAGCTTGTAAATCGCATAATCGTACAGTACGAACTCTTATTTGAACAATAGTATTACAAATGGTAGCATTTATTTGCTCATCAAACCGAACGTTGACGGCACTATTATCATTTTATTCATTATTTTGATGGAATAATAAGATATATTCATTAAAAATTCTCTTACTATCTTACGTAATTTTTTGCCAAAACGATAATTATAGAATTCTGATAGCACGAGCTGGTTTTTGATTAAGAGTACTTCTATAATTATCACATATATTACTTGAGAGGTCGTTAGATATATTTTGTTTCTAATGAGACTATAAACATCTGCTATTTTTCAACGATAACAATTTACATTGTAGATCTCTTCACTTAGAACAAGGTAGCGCTCATTCGATGGATTCGCTGGCCCTTTTCTGAAAGAAATTCTGTGCTGCCACTGTTAGATAGGGAGCTGCGACGAGTCCTTGGAAACTCGACCCCACCAGAGTAAAAGATTCATTTTATTATCGGACCCTGATCCAGATATTTAGATTTTTCGGATCCGGGTCTATATCCATATTTATCTTCAGGTCCTGTTTGCATTAAGCTTCGAATCTGAATAGAACTATGTGAGAAGCGCAAGCGGGAAAAGTGAGACTCCCGTACTCCTGAAGTAAAGTGGGAGTAGAGCGTAAGTGCAGTGAAGTATAGATGGAGCAAACCTGAAGTAGATCTCTTCTGTACTTCTGCGGTACTTTACTTATACTCTCACTCTACTTCAGGAGCACAGAAGTCTTGCTTTTCCCCTCTGGGAAAACGACAGCAAGAAATAATTTTATATTATGTTTTTCGCTCAGTTTAACAACTGGTTGGATACGTCATCGTCAAAATTTGATATCAACGGAACTCCCCTACAAACGTATCACTGACTTTCGGCGACGAGTACACTGTACTAACAAATAAATACCTATAATATTAGTCCTTAATTTTGTCATGCAGACAAAAAGTCCCGAATATCAGTGAAAAAATCAGATCTGGACTCGACCTGGCGAAGATTGACTCCGTGTCAAAATACTAAGTTGTTTTCAAATGTGAATTCGGGCTCGTACCCAAAAGAACGTAATCCCACAACTTCCTATAGTTAGATGGACTTCGAATAAGATGTGTGATATAATTCAACTCTTGGTTCATTGTACAAAGGTTAGAATAGAAAATTCCTGAAAACATTCTCAGCTTCAGTTGATAAACCAGGAATTTGCCTAAATCAATACATGGTTTTACATACATCGCTAACTGTCGTCTGTACCTTTTTGCGTCACCGTTCAACTCAGAGAAAACTTGATAAACTCGTTTTCCCCGTTCTCAGTATTTCTAACCAATTCATAACCGGCATGTTGCACTCCATATTATCAATATTTACAGTACGCATAAAAAAACACATTTCCAAAACTGAAATATGCTTTTAAGCGATGGTGGTATATTTTTGCACTAGAAAAATTGAATTCTACAACAATAGTGTTTATATTTTTCCAAGGAAAGCTAAATAGATTTGTCTTAGAGCCATCCACATCATTAAGTTTGAAAAGCAAAGCCTCCTGGTGAACATTGTATCATGGGTAAAATTATTTAAAGCACTCGTTTTTAAATTCTTGTTGACCCGAATGCATGACGCATTCTCATTAGAGTAGGACAGACAGACGAATTTTCAAGATACCTAAGGCCGTATAAACCTTTCTTTCAGTAATGGAAATATGAACATTGATCCAGTTTGAATCAGTTTAATCTTGGATGAATGATAAGTAAACGTTTAAATAACAAACAAACATCTTGGATAATAATAAAGAAATTTCATACTAACAGAACAACAACAAGCGGTCTCGGATTCTAATTTTCAATGCCAGACTGCCTTTAGATAAGCTTTTGTAAAAATATTTAACAAAATATTAAATATTAATAACAGAGAAAAGTTCACATCCGATTCGGATTTACTATCTTCGGTAACCGTTGCTCAACTTTATAAAAAGTTATTTTTTTCGTAAAAAAAGTATTTCAGGGTCTTAAAAAAGGAAAACTCAAAATCTTAAAAAACTGATCGCGGATTTAGATTATCCAGTCTCGATTACCTTTTGGCTGACTTTTTCAACGAGATTGGGCTGAAGTTTTATTGGTTTCGCGCACTCTGCAATCTGATTGGTTTGTCAAACATACACACAAACATACAAACATTAAAAATATTTAAGCTTCGTATAACCCTTTCATTCAGAAAAGGGGGAAAACATGGAAAATGTTCGAAGACAGTAAATATTACTTATTTTATTATTATTCCAAGTCAAGTAGAATTTAACCATTGGAAAAGTAAACGAACATACCACTTACAAATAGTTGTTTTAGGTATTGTCCAGTATGTTAGTTCTAATTATTTCATTGTAATAATATTTAAAAATAGTTCAATGTTGTAATGATGTGCATGTATTCCATAATTTTGATGCTTCTGCTAGTATACCAATGAATTCCCATTGATTTATATTTGTTGATAAGAAACAAGGTCTATTACTAAATCCATAAGCTGATGGAGTATGTATAAAGAACTTACGATTATCAATTAATCTTAATTGCCCAGTACCATCCATGAATTTTTTTATTAAGAAGAAATTTTTTCCGGTGTTTTCCCATTGATTGCAGGAAGAGTTATCAAAGGGCCCCAGGTGAAACACACATGGTCGTAAACGATCGTTTCAGTTAATAGTTTTGCCGTTTGGTATGTAGCGTATTACGACCTTTTTTCAACATGTCGTAAACGATCTTAACCCGTCAGATGCTCAGTTTTTCCCGTATTATGCCCGTATTTAGTCATTTACGGAACGGCAAAATATGGTGTATATCAAAACGTTAAATTACGGCGATTTACGGTCGGAAACGGCACGAAACTATAGTATATGTTAGGATTTTCGGTCGTGTACGGTCGTTTCTGGCCGCCGTAATGCTCGATCTGAGTAAGTGTTTGAGGTAAAATTTTAAAATGTATCTACTTTAATCACATGATTATATTATTACTGATAAAGATCGACAAAAAAGTTATTTTCATATCATTCTGTAAGGTAAAAGAGATGAAAATTTTCTTTCTTGTTAATTTAATAAAAACAACAACTAATTCTGTTTAGATCAGGCTAATATTTATAGAGAAGTATCGAGTGTACCTGTTGAACTATCAAAATTACATCTATCAGATTTAGCTCGTGCAATCGATATACTTTTTAATCTATCATATTAAAATACAGTTAAAGCAAATGAGTTTTTAGTCAGGCCCATCAAAACGGCATGCGTTACACTACGCCATTTTCTGGGTGAAACGAACGGGCTTGCTATGTAATAGCGACCATTTACCATCAAAATACGATTCAAAATGGCACTCTATTTGCCAATTTTAACACCGACAGTATAGAGTAAATACACGGCTATATATATACACATATATTAAATATGACATTGACTCGCTGTTTTATGTTCCAGATGTCTAGATATTACCTTATAATATTCCAGTCGTTTTGTTTCCATTTCGAAAAAGTATTTTTCAAAATAAAAACTAAACAGAATATGAAGGGTACACAACCAGACAAAGAATTTTGATACATATTTTAAGAATGATAAATTCAGAAATTTCAAAAAATACAGTTTCATTGTTGAAAAAGTATAAAAAAACTTGTTAACATATTTTTCTAACAAAAAGAGAGACAGACCAATCATATCATAATTCCCGTAAAACAAGGGAGCGAAAGTGAGACTTCTATAATATGGGAGTCTCACCCGCCGCCTCTCTTGTGCCAGCTTCATAGGCTTTATGCTTGTTGGTGAACTCTTAACGCTTTTACCAACACCTGCGTACTCGCCCAGGTCCAAACCGTACGACGGGAAACTGTGGGTTCCAATGAAATTCCGGCAAAAGCATGAAAACAGTATTATGGGACCGACTACAGCTACCGTTGACGGCTTCTTCCCTCTTGATTCCTGCAACCGGATAAAATACCAGGATCCGGCTGGCGTTTCCGGCAAGGCTCCTGAGAAGGTTCCGACGCCTTTTCACGGGAGCAGGATCCGAATTATATTCCTTCCGTTTCCGATTCGGTTGCACCGCTGAGATCAGATCGTTTTTATTTTCTTTCAGACGGTTTAATCCCGGAACTGGAAACGATACGATCTATTCAAAGAAGTTTTCTTTATAACTACATGAC